CTGTTCAGCTTTTTATTTATTTGGCAAAATAGCAGCCCCTCCCACCCCCCCCAGTTAACTCCAAGCCTTACTGTCCCGCACCCACTACGACTTGCACCTGATTTTAAGGTTGGGGATTTTTTTTTTGGTGTTTTTTCTTTTAAAATGATCCCTCCACTGTTGGAAAAAATTGAGTGGAAGTATGGCATTTGGAAATAGCTCTTAATAGAGGCACAGGAGAAGAGATGGTGGGGAGGGGATGGTCACAAAAGATACTGAGTGTCCTGCACGACGGCATTGCTCACCCACCAAAACCTTTGGATTTTTTTTCTTTTATTTTATTTTTTTTTCTTTTTCCGAGTAGATACCCGTGGATAATAAGGAGCGAGAAGGCGTAGATCCTAAGGGATGCTCACAGAGGCTGTATCTCTCGATTTAGAACGAATTATACGACTGTACATCTATAAATAAATGTTTATAACGTGAAAGGCTGCGGCTGCGTCGGTGTCCCGGGGCTCCTTGACCCAGCCAGCTCCAGTTTTTACAGCTCCTTCGCGCTGCCTCCGTCGCATCGGCACAGGTAAAGGGAATCCGGGCTCTTTGCTGTCCCCCCCCAAGCCCCAGAGAGCTCCAGCTGGAGTGTAGGAAGGGGGAAGGATGGGGAGAAGATGGAGAGGAGGTGGTACCCCATTAGCTGTGGGTCCCAGCCAGGTGATGGTGACCCACTCGCTCTTGGCTTCCAACTGGTTCCTCTGCGATTGTCCGGAGACTGACACCGCTCCCCCTTTTATTCCCAGACTCCTTGAAATGCCTGAAGACTTTTGGTGAAGTGCACTGAGCCGAGGTGACAGACTCGATTATTTAAAAGAATCAAACTGTATATTAAAAAAAAAAAAAAAAAGGAATCGGAGAATTAGCAACGCACAAACTGCCCTCTTTCTTCTCTCTCTGCCTGTCTGCGCCGTTCGACCGACTGATGTCTCAGGACAGGAAATCCAGCTGCTCCTTCCCTTCCGACACCGCTAGCGTGCGACAGTCTTGTTGCTCCTGAGATCCCACAGCCCCGAGAACAAAACGTGTAGAGTGTAAAAAAATAAAAATATAACACACAAACTTCACTGCAGAAGCCATGAAGCAGGAGACCCTTCGCGACCGCTCCGCTCGCTGCCGACGGAGAGAGAAACCGGACGATTTGGTGATAACAGAAAACTTTTTAAAAGAAAAAAAAAAAAAAGAAAAAAGAAAAGATAATCTATTTAGAATTAATTTATAGCTGTATATATGTTGTACTTTTAAACTATGCAGGGGTTGGATGATTAAATTATTTTGTTTTCTGCCCGGTTTGGTAAACGGGGCAGGAGGAAGCCTCTTCCCAGGGTGTCTTGTTCTGCAGCGCTTTCCTGCCTGACACCACTAAAACCAGAATCACTTGGCAGTTCCTGTACTTTTGCTTTCTGGAGGATGGTGGAATTCTGCGGCTCGGGATGGTGATACACCCGCCTTTTCGGGTTTTAATAAAAAGTAATTCCAAATCTGGAGGGGGTTAACAAAGAAATTGGGGAAACTGGCCGGATTCGTGGCGTGGTTTTGCAGCGTTGGCAGAAGCTGTTGGGGTAGAGGGGGGTGTCAGCTGAGCCCCGGCGTCGCGCTCGGTGACGGGAAGGATTGTCCTGGATGGGTTTTGCTCGTCGGTTGTTGGGTTGATTTGTGCTGGTCAAGTCTTTTTTTGCAGAGTCTGCTGGAATTCTGCCTCGTCATCAGCCCGCGGCGTTGGGGCTGTAAAAGAGGGCTTTGCCACCAGCCTCTCTCCTTTTGGTGGGGCTTTTCGTGTGTGTGTCCTCCACTTGGGGTTCCTCACCCACCAGCATTCCCGTCTGCAACGTGGCCGTGGCCCTGACACCCTGTCTCTGAGGAGACCTGTCAGATAGTGCTAATTCGTAAGAAAAGGAGCTTTTTCTTGCTTCTGTTGAAGGAAGTTTTGCTGATGGAGATGGGGGGGTGAAACTGCTCTGTCCTCAGAGCTCTGCAGCGCATCTCTCTCCATCGCTGTTGGGCAGGACCGGCGTTAGGGCGTCAGGAGGGCATTCCAGGTTAGGAACTCTCTCTTGGAAGCCAAACTGGTATGAGCAGAGCTACCTCCTGTGGAATAAACTGGATTAGTAATTTTTTTTTTTTTCTTTTTTTTGGTACCCTGCAGTTCATTTTTATCTAAAGCCGTTTCCAATGAGAACTGCCCCGTGACACCCTCGGGGGAGCCAACCCAAACGGCGGCTCCCGGGTGGGGTGGCAGGGGCTGGAGGAGGTGAGAGATAAGGTGGGTTTATATCTTTGTTGCTAGGGATCCATGTGGCTTTATGTTCAGCTTTTTATTTATTTGGCAAAATAGCAGCCCCTCCCACCCCCCCCAGTTAACTCCAAGCCTTACTGTCCCGCACCCACTACGACTTGCACCTGATTTTAAGGTTGGGGATTTTTTTTTTGGTGTTTTTTCTTTTAAAATGATCCCTCCACTGTTGGAAAAAATTGAGTGGAAGTATGGCATTTGGAAATAGCTCTTAATAGAGGCACAGGAGAAGAGATGGTGGGGAGGGGATGGTCACAAAAGATACTGAGTGTCCTGCACGACGGCATTGCTCACCCACCAAAACCTTTGGATTTTTTTTCTTTTATTTTATTTTTTTTTCTTTTTCCGAGTAGATACCCGTGGATAATAAGGAGCGAGAAGGCGTAGATCCTAAGGGATGCTCACAGAGGCTGTATCTCTCGATTTAGAACGAATTATACGACTGTACATCTATAAATAAATGTTTATAACGTGAAAGGCTCCGGCTGCGTCGGTGTCCCGGGGCTCCTTGACCCAGCCAGCTCCAGTTTTTACAGCTCCTTCGCGCTGCCTCCGTCGCATCGGCACAGGTAAAGGGAATCCGGGCTCTTTGCTGTCCCCCCCCAAGCCCCAGAGAGCTCCAGCTGGAGTGTAGGAAGGGGGAAGGATGGGGAGAAGATGGAGAGGAGGTGGTACCCCATTAGCTGTGGGTCCCAGCCAGGTGGTGGTGACCCGCTCGCTCTTGGCTTCCAACTGGTTCCCCTTGGGATGCTCCCAGGAGGATGCCCCCTGGCATGGGGGACCCGGATTTCCTCCCCCCTCCCACAGAAGCAGTGCTGTGAGCTGGGTCCCCTGCATCCTCGGGCTGAGCTGGTTGGGAGGATGCTTTATTCTCATCCCATCCCAGTGTGTGAAGGTCCAAGTGCAGGAAGGTCCAGGCTGCCTTTGTCCTGAGCAGAAACACTGCCCAAGACGCGCTTGGAAACTGCCAGCTGCTGCCCCGACCTCAGGATTGGGAACTTGCAATCCCAAACAGGGCTCTTTTTTTCCCAAATCCGCCCTCCCTGGGGCAGCAAAAGGCTTCTCCCGCAGCAGGCTGGACCCTGCTGGTGCTCCCCTCCTCTTCCCTGGCCCCGTGCACCAAAGGGATGGAGGTTTCTGGTGGGTTTATATTTCCCCTTTTCCCTTTTTTTCCCTTCTCTGGGGGTCTGGAGGGTCACACCGCTTCCATTTTCCCTCGGCGCTGCGTTCCTGGCAGCAGTGGTGAGTCAGGAACCCCCCGGTGCCACCAGCACAGACCCACACCCCCCTCCCAATTAGTTATATTTTGTTTAATTCTGCACTCCCAAGTTTTTGGGGTGGTTTTGCTGCATTTTGGGTCATTCCCAGCCCGCAGCGATGGGAGATACTCTGTGTTTTGCTGCGCTGGTACCTGCCCGCTCATCAAAGGTGTGGGCGATTTGGGCTGCCCATTAGCTCCTTCCCCAGCTCGTTAACCCAAGCTTTTAATTGGGGCAGGAGCTGGAGGAAGGGAGGTGCCCTATGAACATCCTCCTCGGGCAGGTGGGGAGCAGAAGGGACCCCGCTTCTCCCCACCATCATTTTGGGCAGAAAAAGGAAGAGTTTAGCGTTACCTTGGGATTTAAACTCTTGTTTGCCTTATTTGCTGCTGATGTCCCCAAAAATCTCCCTTTCCCTGCCACGGCAAGACCCAGGCCAATGCTGGTGCCACAAATAGCCCCCATCTCCACCTCCTGGATCCCAAAATATCCCTCTCCGTGCCCCCCTGCCGCGGGAGAGGCTAAATCCAGCCTCGCTGGAAGCTCCTGGCACCTTCCAGGGAGCTGCCAAACCCCAGGGACCTTGACAAACCCCCAAATTTGTCACGAGAAAGGCCGTTTTGCTATTAATAGAAGCCAAACTGCACCTGCCGAGGAGCCAAGGGGGTGTTTTGGGGAGGGGAGGGGGGCACGATGACCTGCACCCCCCAGCAAATGGGCTCATCCCGTCGCTCTGCCTTTTTTGGTGGAGTTGTTTTTTTTGTTTTCTTGGTCTTTTCTGAGAAGACTTTTTCGTGGAATAACCCGAAACGTGAGTCCACCCTCCGAAAGGGCTGGGGACCACGGCGATCCCCTCCGCCTGCTTAGGAGCTCGAGGGATAAAAATACAGATATTTATAGAGGTTTATATATAGTTTGAAGACACAATATGTCTCAGCCCGAGCTGCCGGTGTCGCTGCCGTGGCCATTCCATAAATCTCCCA